CCCCCACAAAAAAAAAAAAAAAAAAAAAAAAAAAAACTGGTTTGGTTGGAAAAATACGCAAATTATTATTAGTGAATTTGTTTCTCACAAAGAAATCTAAACATTTTAGTGTCGCCTTGTAGCTAAAACCGTCAAACGGTTTTTGAAGTTAGCCTCAGATTCCAGTGCTAAAGGGGCATTCCACAAAAAAATTAACATCTGGGTCATGTTCAATCAGCTCTAGTTTAAAAACTACAATACAGTACTTGGACTTTCCAAACTTGTACTGGATTGTCCTACACTAAAATCAGAATATTTACAGTACAGGTTGAGATTTGTTAAATCTTTATTCTGTTTGTGAAAGTTAAAGACAGAACAATTTGTGCTCTTTCTATTGTTGCTTTGCGCTTGTGTCACGCTAGAACAGTAGTTTTTGAACTGGACCCATTTTATCATAGTCCTTTTCTCCACCATAACACAATGAAACTGCTTAAATACTGGACCAGGTTCAATGTAGTCCAGTAGTCCAGATGCAAAAACAAAACGCTAAAATTACCTTTCTTTAACTTTCGCAAATAGAATAATAGTTTTGTACAAATCTGTTGTGAGTATAAACCAATTTAGTCTAGGTTTGAACAGTCTAAGTGTTGCAGATTTTTAATTAGAACTTACTGTTCAGACAATTAAAAATTCAGTGGAATTGCCCTTTACCGAGCAGTCAAATCGTAATCGAACTTCAGCGTCGCATCAGTCAGCGAAAACATTTTGTTGTTATTCAAACAAATAAACAACACAATTGATCGTTTATTAATTTAACTGTGAAATTAAACCAAATGGGAGCCGCTATACTCTTAAAATACTTAAACGGAGGGGGGGAAAAGGCAACAACACGTCTTAATTAAAAAAATTAAATAAAAAACTACAACTCCCAGACAGCCCAAACCTGATAACGATGTTTCGGAAGTAATCTGTAGCCAGGATCTAAACAACAAGTAGTGGATTATTTCCGTAAACAATGCAATAGTTGTTCGGTTTAAGATGCAATTTAAACTAATGTTCACTTGAATAATTATTAACAGAAAAGCCGTTGCCTGTTTATGCTGAAATTAGTTTAAAAAGCGTCAGCGGCGTCACGAGATAACCGACAGCTCCGAAGGAAAAGGAGGAGCCGCAACTTCCGAGGAATTTAAACCTTTAATTTTTTTAATCTAAAAACGTTGTGTCTAACTGAGTAGTCATTTTAGAAGCGATAGAAGAAGCAGCTTACCGTTAGCCTCCCCTGTGTGAGCTGACAGAGCGTCACCGGAGGTCAGAGAGGAGACATGCCGCAGGAGGCTGGGTGAACCCGGGGAACGCCTGCTGGGACAGGGGGGGCTGGCGGCCGCACAGCAGCATGATTGTTCCCGGTGTCAGTCGTGGCGCTCAGACTCAGGAAGGCGTCTGCTCCCCGCAGGAACACGCAGCCTCTCTGGGACGCTGAACCCATGGAGGATTTTTACTGGTTTCAGGTACGTTTTAGCTGCTGCTGTCGTTTAGCATCGAAACGTTCAGCTCATTCCGGAGACCATGGATATGACTTATGGTGTTTGTAACTTTTTAAAATATTTAACTTTCTTTGCAAATATTTTCACCAACAATATCTCTTTAATTCCTTCGAAGACATTGTTCTCCTTAAAATCTACTTCATCAAACTGGCTATTTTTTTTGTCTTCTTATGCTACTTTTATCTTTCAGCTATTTGCTAATTTCGCTTTAGTCTACTGTTCCTGTACATTTTAGCTACCAAATGCTGTTGTTTAGCTTTTAGCTACGATTTGGCTACTTTTAGCTAGGGTTTTGAAACTTTTAAGGTTCGAGGTTCTTTTTTGTCATTCATTTTCAGCAGCTGTCTTTGTTGTCCACTGTTGTCTTCAGTCTTTGTTAAAATCAATTGTCTCTTGTAAATGAGTCCCCGAGGCTCAATGGGATTAACCTGTATAAATAAAGGTTGAATGATTGAATTCCCATCATATGTGGTACATGAGGTGGAACGAAATTGTGTACTCAAGGTCCAGTTACACCCAAAAATAGCAAAAATATAAAGTATAAAAAAGAAAACAGTATACAAGGATCTAAGATGTACACTAAACAATAATATCATAAGGTATATTATTTTAGTGTTTTGTTTTAGCTTTAAAATACAGTTTCTATACCATTTATCGTTTAGCTGCTGTTCTGCTACTTTTAGGTTTTAACTAGCCTTTTGCTACATTTAACTACCATTTTATTACTTTTATTTTTAACTAACCCTTTACTTTTAATAAACCTTTTGGCTACTTTTAGCTAGCCTTTCGCTACTTTTAGCTTTATTTTTAGTATTTTGTAACTGTTAGTGTTTTCCTTTTTGAAACTTACCCACCAATCTGCTACTGTTTTGATAATTTTAGGTTTTAGCTATACTTTTGCAACTTTTAGCTTTAATCTAGCATTGTGCTGCTTTAGTTAACATTTTGCTACTGTTAGTGTTTTAGCTTAAATCTATTGTTTGTCTCCTTTTTTTTCTGCAACCAGCTTTAGCTGCTTTTAGCTTGTCTTTTGCTATCTTTGTCTTTGAACTAGTTCTATGAGACTTTTTGCTGACTTATCTTTAGCTCTTCTTTTGCTACTTTTAGCTTTAATCTAACTCTTTGCTACTTTGTTTGTCATTAGCAATATGTACTGTACGTATCTGGTACTGTTAGGGTTTTGCAATTATTAGCTTTAAGCTAGTGTTTTGCTTCATTAACTTTGAGTTACCATTTTGCTACTTTAAGGTTTTAGCTAGCTTTTTGTTACTTTTAGTCAGCCTTTTGCTGTTTTTAGTTTCCAACTAGTTCTTGGAGACTTTCAGCTAAGCTTCTGATACTTTTAGTTTTAAACTACCATTCTACTACTGTTTAGCTTTTAGTTACTGTTCTGCTACATATATACTAAACTTTTAAAAGTGAAACGTTCCTGCCAACATGAGTCTAATCCATCCCCTTGTTTTGTTCGTTCTCCTCCAGGTCTCGTGTTCCTCACTGAACCCCTCGTCCCGGTGAAACCCAAAGCTGAAGTTTTTAATGCAGGCTGTGTGCTGGCTGCTGTGCCTGGGCCTCGCGGGGACGGTCGCCGCTCTGCAGAAAGACCAGGTGGCCCGGCACGCCGTCAAGGTCTATCGAAGCAAAACGACCACTCCCGGCCACAGCTGGTTGGCCAAGAACTGCAAGCAGCTAGTGAGCCTCCTGCGCCAGAAGAATGTGGCCATCAAGAAGCTGGCAGCCGCCGCTAATGCTGTTGGACGAGACCAAATCCTTTCTGAACCAGAGAAGCACTTCCAGGTAAGTTCAGTTTATTTTTGTGACGCCATTTTGCAACTAAAGTCGCCTCAGGTCACTGTACAAAACAAAAAACTCCATTCAAATCCAAACTCGGCACACTGAGTCAGGTCTTCACTTCGTATCAGTCTCCCATTTTGAGCAGGACTTTAGCGACAGTGGAAAGGAACGACTCCTATTGAACAGCAGAGCCAGAACCCAGCTGAGAACCATCAGTCATCTGCTTCGACCTGCTGGCTTATGAAAGGACAGGAGAAAGAGTCAAACTGCAAAGGATTGGTCGAGGGACAGTTTTGGTAAATGCATGGATCGGATTTCTGCGTCATTTTGAAACAATACGCTTCTGATTTTAGTGATATTCAGGTGGAAGAAAGCGGTCCTGGTAACATTCCTAATGTGGGAGTTAAATGATTTCTGATTTTAAAAAATAACACGCAGGTTCCTTACATCAGAACTGGAGGCCAAGTTTATGCAATCCAGATAAAGTGAAAGGCTCCAATGTTTGTATCTGAAATCTTGAAGTCCAAAAAAACCTCAACCTTCATCTTTTGAAAACACGAGACCATTTAACTGTTTGGAGCTTCTCCTGGTTTTGTGCATCTTGTGAGACCTAACATGGGTGAGTCAGGTCCTCTGGAAGAACCCGTCCAGAGGACCTGACTCACCCTTGTTAGATTTATCTACCTGGATCATGTCTGAGAGCGCTCCTTTGGGACATGTGGTTGTTTCTGTTCACACGTTATTGTTTCCAGAACAGTTTGGCTTATGACAGACTAGTTTCAGACACAATTGCAAGAAAACCTACAGATTTTTTTGGGAGAGCCACCCATGACGAGATGTTTGCAGAAACTCCAGAATAAATTTAGCTAAAATTTGTCGTGTTTGCGTACAAATTGATAAAAAAGGATACAGCTCTATAACTAGAATTGCAAAACTAAACTGAGAAGAGTTTGAGCTGGGCTTGAGACTGTTTTAAGACAAAATTTGAGGAAATCGAGAGCCTCGGAGAACATTTGGAGAGTTTTAGAAACATTTTGGAGACTCGCTCACAAACGCTATTTGCAGTTTATCACCAGGAATTGCAAACAAGTGAGATACTACCTTACAGTAGTTGCAAAGACCATTTCATTGTTGTTGTTGAATAGATGTAAAATAGAATATATATAGTAGATAGTAGATACCTAAACTGTTATCTCTCTCAGCCGTGAGTTTTGGGAGACTAGTCAGTGAATTCTTCTTGCAGTTTTTTCAGAATTGTTAGAAAACTGGTGAATTTTCAGTCGTGTTCTCGTTGGTGTTTGTGACCGGTGAGCTGTGTGGCAGCATTTTGAATGGCCAGTTTTTGAAAATCGTGGCCTTTTTTTATTGCACTGCTTTCTAAACTACATTCTTGGCCATGCACATTTTATAGTAATTAAAGGCTCGCACATAGTCGGACAGACCTCAGTCTGCGGAGGTCCGCGTGTACCGGATTAGACTCGAAGCGGACGCCCTTCAGGACACGTTCGTGCAAAGCTAATTTTTTACGTACGCGTACTCCGTGTCGCACAATAAACTGCTTGGCGACGGACTGTTTTGTATGTGACACCAATGTATTAAAGTCCTCTTCTTCATCCCTGGTTTGGTTTAATGGCCTTTTTTTGTTTCTTTTCCAAGAGGCAAGCGATCTCTTCCTCCTCCTCTGTTGACGCCATGACTGAAATTGTGTGAAATGAAGGAATTAGTCACGAGCAAGCGGTTATAGCCACATTAAAATAGCTGCACATACACGAGCCATCAGAAGTAGTTGGTCAGGTTTCTGTGACACATTTGGTGTCGTCAGTACCGGGTGGGGTTTGACCACATTCCACACTTCAAATACCTTCATACACAAAAGAATGAGCACTCATCAAGCTCAGAAAAGGTTAAAACAAGAGATACAAACATCCTGAACACACCACAATGCCTGATTACACGACAAACAATGTCAGTTGTTAGATCAAAATGGTCAACAACTTCAAGTTTGCCCTTCTTATTGCAGACAGGTGGAAGCTGCAGGTGCATCTCCACAAGTCCTTTCTGAAACCTAAAGCTGACCACGTTAAGACCACGCACTTCAGTTAAAATAGGCCGTCTAACTGGTGTCTCTCCCCGCCTCACCTACGTTAAGGTTCACACCCTGGAGGTTTTTCAGAAGGAGCTGAATGAGAGCGAGAACCTGGTGTTTCAGGCGTTGCACAGTCTCCAGAGGGCGCTGCAGGGCGACTACAGAGATGTGGTCAACGTGAAGGAGAGCAGCAGGCAGAGGCTGGAGGCCCTCAGGGAGGCAGCCATAAAGGTAGGACACCAAGCAGCACTGATTCATCTTCGCCTGCCGACACAGACATCCTCTACTTTTTGAGTCGATTACATCCAAGATGGCGGCCTCAGCAAATACAACTTTTATTGTATAAACTTTTTAGGAAGAGCAGGAGTACGTGGAGCTGGTGGCTGCAGAGAAGCATCAGCAAGAAGCTGTGAAGAGCGCTTTGGCCCAAAACAAGAGTCTGTCCTTACTGGACGAGATCCTGGAGGACGTCAGGAAGGCAGCCGACCGACTGGAGGAGGAGATCGAGGAGCATGTGTTTGACTACAACAAACAGGTCAGAAAATTACGTTTACGCACTTCAGTTTTTAAATTTGGGAGATCTCACGAGGGTCCAGTTGTTAAGACTTTGAACTGCACCACTTTTCTTCTCACCGTTGTGCAGATGAAAGGAGTGAACATAGAAGCAGTGCTGAGGGTGGAGGAAGACGAGGAGAAAGGAGGGAAGGTGAAGAACAAGTCCAGGAAGGTGGAGGTGGAGGATGATTTGGGACTGAGCATGCTCATTGACTCGCAGAATAACCAGTATGTTCTGACCAAACCTCGAGACTCCACGATGCCAAGAGCCGACCATCACTTCATCAAGGTTCGGTTTTCTTCCACTCCGCCTTGATCTTGGGCTGCAAATGAAACAGATTGGCTGCAATAGGTTTAGTCAGTTATTATGATCAGATTAAAGAAGCATAACCGTTAACTTTGACTAAAGTGTTATTTTGGTGCTTTATGTACAGGACCTGGTGTCGGTGGTGATGCTGTCCCTGCCTTGTGGTTGGGTCTGCACTTTAGTGGGTCTTCCTCCAATGTTTGGGTATATCATCTGTGGGGTCCTGCTGGGTCCTTCGGGTCTCAACAGCATCAAGGTGTGTGTTTGTGTTTGTTGGTGTCAGCACATCAGATCGGACCTAAATGATTTTTCAGACATGCATCCTCGTGTGTCCCGCAGTCTATAGTTCAGGTGGAGACTCTGGGGGAGCTGGGTGTCTTCTTTACGCTCTTCATGGTCGGACTGGAGTTCTCACCTGAGCGTCTTCGGAAGGTAGATGAGAGAAATGTTGGCTTCAAATCATAGTCATAATGAATTTGACTAAGTTAAGTCATTTTTGTTGTTGCTAAATTGATTAGTTGGGACGTGTTTGAAAATATGGAACAACTGGAGAAACTGACTTTAAACTTCAGCGTGAACGCTGAGCTGAACTGAGTTGTTAAAGCTAAAATAAAGCAGAATGATGGCTAGAGCCTAAATGTACCAAAAGGGCTAGCTAAAAGCTAAACGTTACAAAAGGCTAACTAAAAGCTTAATATTCAGGCTGCTGTTTAAGACACTTTATTATATTATATTATATTATTGTTAAGCGTATATCTTAGATGCTTGTATACTGTTTCTCCTTTTTTTAATACACTTTATATTTTTGCTGTATTTGGGTGTACGGGACCTTGAGTATACAATTTCGTTCCACCTCATACTGTATAGACTAGCTAAAAACTTAAAGTACAAACAGGCAAGCTAAAAATAGTAAGAGGCAAGCTTAAAGTGGACGTTGTTGAAATTCATATAAAGCTAATAGTATCAAAAGGAGCAATAATCCTGTTTTTAGTATTTTACCCCGTTTCATAATGTAGCATGTTTTTATTTTGTTTTATATCACTATTTTTATTTAATTATCATTGTATATGCTTTTTATGACTGTTTATTGTTGTCTGTACCTCATCTGTTGATGTTTTGTTCAAAATAAGTCTCTTGAAAATGAGTCCTCGTGTCTCAGTGTGACTAACCTGTATGAATAAAGGTTGAATGAATGAATGAAAAAAAAAAACTTGCAAAATATTGGCTAAAATCTGAAAATAACAAATGACTGACTAAAGCTAAAAGTATCCAAATTTTGGTTGAATGCTAAAAGTTACAAAATGCTGAAATCTACAAGTGGCAAAAGACTTGCTAAAGTTAAAGGTAGCAAAAAGCCAGCCAAAAGTATCAAAAGGCTAGCTAAAAGTTGCAAATAGCTAGCTAGTAGCTAAATGTATCAAACAATAAGCTAAAAGTCTAAAGTTACAAAAGGTAAGCCAAAAGTATTAAAAGGCCATCTAAAAGTAGCAAAAGACTAGCTGAAATCTAAAGTCATCAAAAAGATAGCTTTAAGCTAAAAGGAGAAAAATGCTTGCTAAATTTAAAAGTAGCAAAAGGCTAGCTAAAATTTAACCATAGCAAAAGGCTAGGTAAAAGCTAACGGTAGCAAATGATGTGCTGAAAGATAAATCCATCAAAGTGACAGTGTAAAGTTAATACAGTAGTAGCAACAAATTAAAATTAATGAAAGACCAGCTAAAAGCTAACAGAAGGAGAATGGTGAATAAAAATCCAAAGTATGGTATTATAAAAACACAAAACAAAGCCAGTTTACTGAAGCAGAATGCAAAATAATATTTTTAAAGGAATTGCAGAGATCTCTGTATTTCTACGTAGAAGTATTTCTGGGTAAATATTTATAAATAATAAAGATAAAGTAAAATAATTACACAAACCAAAAGTTACAGCACGGATTTCTTGAATGAGCTGAAGGTTTTGATAAGTGAACAGATAAAGTAGCTCAGGCTATGTGGAAGTATCTCGATGTAGAAAACATGAAAGAAACTCTAAACAGGAAAACAATAACTAGCACTTGATGAAATCTTTAATAAAAATTGAGTGTAAATCAGTGTATTAAATGTGTGCACAGGTGTGGAAGACCTCGGTTCAGGGGTCATGCTACCTGAGCCTGATGATGGTCATGGCTGGTTTGTTATGGGGTCAATTTCTTCATATCCGACCCACCCAGACGGTCTTCATTTCCACCTGCCTGTCCCTGTCCAGTACTCCTCTAGTGTCCCGCTTCTTAGCAGGAGGAAGCAGGGTGGAAAAGGAAGGTATGCAGCAATTTTTTAGTTTATATGTATATTTAACACCAAACCCTAAGGGTTCTCACAGCCGGACAACCCCCCCCCCCCACACACACACACACACGCACACATTTTGATAGTTAACAATAGCTACCTAACCTCTAAAGCATTCAGAGAGAAGCTGGGGAAGTAAAAAAGAGCTAGTGAAGTGCAGAAAGCTATTCAAAGAAAGAGGTTAGCCAAGAAGAAATATGACAGTGAGAGGACTGAAGAGAGGAGACAGGAATATAAGGAGATGCAATGTAGAGCAAAGAGGGAGGTAGCTAAGGCAAAGCAGAAGGCGTATGATGAGTTGTACGGGAGGCTGGACACTAAAGAGGGCGAGAGGGACTTGTACCGACTAGGTGAAACAGAGGGATCAGGCTGGAAAGGATGTGCAGCAGGTTAGATTTGTTAAAGATAGGAATGGTAATGTTCGAACAACTGAGGAGAGTGTGAAGGGAAGATGGAAGGAGTACTTTTAGGAGCTAATGAATGAAGGGAATGAAAGAGAAAGAAGAGTAGAGGTCATAGAAACTGTGGACCAGGAAGTGGGCAATATTACTGAGGGTGAAGTTCGGAAAGCTCTGAAAAGAATGAAAAAGAGGAAGGCAGTAGGACGTGATGAAATGCCAGTGGAGGTTTGGAAATGTCTTTGAGAGATGGCAGAGAGGTTTTTGACTCAAATATTCAATGGCATATTTGAGGGTGAGAAAATGCCTGAGGAATGGAGGAGAAGTGTGCTGGTGCCCTTTTTTAAGAACAAGGGTGATGTAGAGTTGTAGCAACTACAGGGGAATTAAGTTGATGAGCCACACATTGAAGATCTGGGAGAGAATTGTGGAGGCAAGACTTAGTCAAGAGGTGACTGTGAGCAGCAGTATGGGTTCATCCCAAGAAAGAGCACCACAGACACCATCTTTGCTTTGAGAATGGTTTGGTTTTATATGCTTCTCAGTTCAGCAGTAATCACAGACTCTTGAGGTGACCTTGGAGTGCCAGCTCCATGATGTAGCCTCCCAGCTCCTCATCCAGCTGTATCTGCTAACCCAAACATATGGTTCATGGGCAGAGTTAACATTCTCAGCCATAGCACCGTACTTTTCGCTGTATAAGTCGCACCCCTTTTGTATAAATTAGCATGTCCTGTGACTTATACAGTGAAGCAACTTATTTATTTATGTTTTTCCCATATTTATAACCCAATGTTTGGATGAGATCTGATGATTTAATTCATTATGACGTGGAAAATATTGAAAACTACCATTTTCAGCCACTAGAGGGTGCTTGAGGGTAAGCAAAGTGTCTCATTAATAGGTAGAAGTGGCTATTAATGAGACCCTTAGCTTGTCATATTATTCGAGCGCCCTTTCGAGCAAACAAATAATTGTTTTAGGTGGTTATCTTGTTCAATTTTGAAGAAGTGCACAGCGAGTCCTTCCTCTGCACCCTCGCGCAGCTGCAAATCGATTTTTGAAATGCAGCTGATAGATGCAACTTAGACGGCGAAGTGACGTGTATGGCAGCAAATACGGTAGTTAAAAACATCCATAAACTTTACCAAAAATTCCATAACAGATGCTGATGGAGAAGTACAGAGATGGTCAGAAATAACTCCATTGTGTCTTTGTGGATTTAGAAAAAGCATATGACAGGGTGCCGAGGGAGGAGGTGTGGTATTGTATGAGGAGAACTGAAGTTACAGAGAAGTATGTTAGACTGGTACAGGACATGTATGAGGACAGCAGGACAGTGGTGAGATGTGCTGTAGGAGTGACGGATAGCTTCAAGGTGGAGGTGGGAGTGCATCAAGGATCGGCTCTGAGCCCCTTCTTGTTTGCTCTGGTGATAGATCGACTAACAGATGAGGTCAGGCAGGAATCCCCATGGACCATGATATTTGCAGATGACATTGTGATCTGTGGTGAGAACAGGAAACAGGTGGAAGAGAACTTGGGAGAGGTGGAGGTATGCACTTGAAAGAAGAGGAATGAAAGTCAGCCATAGTAAGACAGAGTGTGTGTGAATGAGAGGGAGGCCGGTGGAACAGTGAGGCTACAAGGAGCAGAGGTCACAAAGGTGCAGGACTTCAAGTACTCGGGGGTCCACTGTCCAGGAAAATGGGGAGTGTGGTAAAGAGGTGAAGAAGAGAGCCCAGGCAGGATGGAGTGGATGGAGAAAAGTTTCAGGAGCGATTTGTGACCAAAGTGTGTCAGCAAAGGTCAAAGGAAAAGTTTACAAGACAGTGGTGAGACCAGCTATGATGAATGGTCTGGAGACAGAGACATGGACAAAAAGACAGGAGAAAGAACTGGAAGTGGCAGAAATGAAGATGTTGAGGTTCTCCTTAGGAGTGACAAGGATGGATAAGATTAGGAATGAGATCATCAGAGGTACAGCACAGGTTGGACAACTGGGAAATACAGTTAGAGAGACCAGACTGAGATGGTTTGGACATGTCCAAAGGAGGCACAGTGGGTATATTGGCAGAAGGATGTTAGAAATGCAGCTCCCTGGAAAAAGACGAAGAGGAAGTCCAAATAGGAGATTTATGGATGCAGTTGGAGAGGACATGGAGGTAGTTGGAGTGAGGACAGAGTGAAGTGGAGGAGGATGACTCGCTGTGGCGACCCCTGAAGAGGGAAGCCGAAAGAAGAAGAAGAAAGACTAATAGTGATTTAATAAAATAGTTAAGATGGGTGGGTGTGTGTGTGTGTGTGTGTGCGTGCGTGCGTGAGACAGGTGAACTGGACTACAGCAGCGTCCTCCTTGGGATGTTGGTGATGCAGGACGTTCAGCTCGGCCTCTTCATCGCCGTCATGCCGACTCTGATCCAGGCCCAGAGCGGAGACTTGGACAGGTCCGTCATTGTGTTTCTTCTCCTCTTTTAAAATAAACATGCAGTCGTGTTAAGTCTTTTGTTCCCTCTGTGCGCCTCAGCTTTCTGTTTGGAGGCCTGCGGGTGCTGAAACTCCTGGCCCAGGTTCTGATGTCCCTGGCCGTTGTGCTGCTGCTGTGCATGTTGCTCAGGTCGTTCTTGATTGGTCCGTACTACAAGAAGCTTCACGCTGAGAGCAAAGGCAACAAGGAGATCCTTGTACTGGGAACGACGGCGTTTGTCTTTTTCATGCTGATGGTATTTTAGCTTTTATCTAATTGTTTGGTGCTTTTAGTTGTTAGCTATTGTTTATTAGTTATAACTAGCAATTTGCTGCTTTTAGCCAGTGTTTTGCTACTTTTTGTTTTTATATAGCATTTTGGGGTTTTTTAGTTTTTAGCTAGCTTTTTGCTACTTTAAGCTTTTATGATGGCATTTTGCTTGTTTCACTCTTTGCTAGTGTTTTAGCTTTAAACTTGTGTTTTGCTACTTTTCAGTTTTAGCTAGCATTTTAGTCCTTTTACCCAGCAAGCTTTTAGTTACTTTTAGCTTCTTTTAGCATTTTTGCCAGTGTTTTGTTCTTTAGATATTAGCTAACGTTTTGCTACTTTTAACTTTAGCATTTCACTTTTAGCTAGTGGCTTGTACTTTAGCTTTTAGCTAGTGTTTTTCTTCTCTTAGAGTTGATACTTCAGTTTTTTATTTTTTTATCTTTCAGTAGCTGTCATTTCTTTAGTTACCTTTTTATTTTCAGATAAAGACTTCCTCTTTTTTATCATTTCTGTCTAATGTGTTTTTGAGCTTGTGATGAAGACCTTTGTGTGGTTTTTTTTTTTTTCAGATAACAGAGTTTCTGGATGTTTCTATGGAGCTGGGATGTTTCGTGGCCGGAGCTTTGCTCTCCTCTCAGGGTCACATGGTCACCACTGAGGTCACAGGGGTCATCGAGCCCATCAGAGATTTCCTCGCCATCATCTTCTTCGCTTCTATTGGTCAGACAGAACACGAGACCATTAGCCAGATGGTTTTCTTGTTTAACAGTGAGACTGTACTGAATTATAGTGTGTGTGTGTGTGTGTGTGTGTGTGTGTGTGTGTGTGTGTGTGTGTGTGTGTGATGCTGCAGGGCTCCACGTGTTCCCTACTTTTGTGCTCTACGAACTCACCATCCTGATGGTGCTGACGCTCACACTCGTCATCATGAAGGTTCAGTTTCTTCTTGATTTTTTTATTTATTTCTGCTATAATCTCAGTTTCATCATCTCCTCACTGCTCGTGTCCTTCCAGTTCATCATGGCCGTGCTGGTGCTGTCCACCATTTTGCCTCCGGGTTCCCGACACATACGGTGGATCGTCTCAGCGGGTCTGGCTCAGGTCAGCGAGTTCTCCTTTGTCCTCAGCAGCCGGGCCCGTCGTGCCGGCATCATCTCCAGAGAGGTCAGTAATTCATTTTGGAGTTTACTTTTATCTTTGTTGGAATCATAGTTGCCGTTAAATCTTTTCTCTTTTCATGCATGTTTCAAGTTCTAAGAACTTAAATTTGTAAACAGACTTTTTTTTTTAATCCAACCAGAAGTCAAAACCCATAGTTTATTTTTTTTGACTGCCTTTTTTTTTCTGCCAAATTAAAAACAAAATAGAAACACACAACTTTAAAGTTTTACAATAAACATCTCTGAATTTTGTCTTAAAACAGTTTCTGGCTGTCTGAGTCTGTTTCAGGTGATTTGCCTGTTAGTTCTGACACATCAGTTCACATTTGGTGGTAAATGATGTATCCTAAAACACTTTTTGTGATCAGATGTTGATTATCCATGTTGTATGTGGATGCACACACAGCCACGTCACTTAGTGGGCTGTCAGGCTCTGTTTATACATCAACAATGTATGGAAACATTGGAGATTTCCTTACGCTAATTGCAGAAAATATATGGAACACCAAAATGCTCAAAATTTAAATAAGTAAATAAAGCATTATGAAATAAGTATCTGTCATTATGAAAAAAAAATTTTTTTATTCTTTTATTTCATAAATGTGTTTTTTCATGATAGCTTATTTATTTCATAATGCCACTTTTCAGCAGAATGACTTCAGCTGTCAATCAATGTCAGTGGGCTGGACCTGCACGCCCACTGGCTGATCCTTCACATCCATTAGTTTTCCTGAATACCTGCTCACTGGTCCAGCTAGCATAGCAGCTAGCAGCCACTTGCTAGGTCAGCAGTCATGAAGGATGGCAGAGTTGCATGAAGTTCATTCAGCTCAGGTAACTTTAGCAGATCAAACTGAGAGGATTACGTTTTCAGAAGATACAAGTGTTGTGACAAAAAGTGATGGACTGCCAAAAATCGATCGGTGCCGCGGGAGCACGCACGGGAGCACGCACGGGAGGACTCGCTGTTCACTGTACCAGTGGGCAGGTATTCAGGAAAACTAATGAATGTGAAGGATCAGCCAGTGAGCGTGCAGATCCAGCCCACTGACTTTGATTGACAGCTGAAGTCATTCTATGGAAAAGTGGCAATATGAAATAAATAAGCCATGAAAAACACAATTATGAAATTAAAAAATAAAAAATATTTTTTTTTCTTCTCATTTCATCATGTTTTATTTATTTATTTAATTTTGAGCATTTTGGTGTTCCATACACATTTAATGCTGTGCTTGTTGAACCTTCTGTAGTTTCCATGCCAGGCCACTAGCTGGCGCTGTGATTCTTGTATTTCATCAACATGCTCATGTGCAGACTCTTCTGTCCCGAGCGAAAAACAGTTACATCCAAAACTTGATGAACACATGAACGTTAGTTTGGGTTGGTTTGCTTCTACATGTAAAAAAAAAAAGGGCGAGTAGCACAAACACTCCTCTATCCGCCATTATTGCTGTTGTACTGTAAATTTAACATCAGCTCTGTGTTTATTAAATGATAAATGGACTGTACTTATGTAGAGCCTTCCTAGCCAACCAGGCTACTCAAAGCACTTCACAGCACAATCTGTGCCCTCATTTACCCACCCACATTCATACACTCTACTGAATTTCTGCAAATCTAACCTGAATTAATCTATAAAGTTTTATCAACTCTTTAGATCACATTCATACATGGATGGGCCACATTAGAGGAAATGAGGTGCATCAAGGTATCTTGCTCAGGGACACTTCCACATATGACAGCCTACTGCCAAGAATCAAACCTCCAACTCTTTTGTTAGAGGACGACTGCACTAACCACTGAGCTACAGCTTCTTCCAGAGCCGCTCACACTGTCGTCCTCTGACGCAGCCCATTGTAGCATACAGTGATGACAGCAGGTCCAAAAACAATCTGAGTAAACACTAAAACTAAGGAGGAACATTCGTTGTTGTGCTGTCAGCTTCTCTCTTCTTCAGGGTTTGCCACAGCAAGCAAACTCACATGAAAGTTTTGGTGTTTGTTTTACACCGGGGTACCCTTCCTAACGCAACTTGAGCTCGAACCTGCAGCCTCAGGATTACAGGACCACGGTACTGACCACCAATCCACCGCAGGACCGAGAATAAGAACAAAAAACACTCCTGTACAACATCTGTAAACCACCTTGATTCATGAAATCACAACCACATGGACATTTAAATGAAGAAGAGATCAATAAAATGAAACAAAACAAACGAAAAGCCATATATTCACCTTATGAGGCAGTTCAGAGCTGTATTTAGCTCTACCAATAGCTCAAATCCTCATATCTGAAAACTAGAGATACACAATATTATCGGCATGGTATTGGTATCGGCCGATATTAGCGATAAAGTTAAATATCGGACATTGACCATTCCATCAAAATAACTTGCCAATATACAGTGAAAGGCGTGTGTGTATATATGTATATATATATATATATACACACACAGACCCTTTCCAAAAAATTAGAATATCATGGAAAAGTTGTTTAATTCCAGAATCTGGCAGAGATCCAGAAAGAGTGGAATGAGGCGGGAGTCGCAGCTTCAAAAACCACCACATTCAGACACATCAGGGAGATGGGCTACAACTGTCGGGTTCCTCGGTCCTCTTTTCTGATGAAAGTAAATTGTGCCTTTCATTCGGAAATCAAGGTCCAAGGGTTTGGAGGAAGAAGGGTGAGGAACAGAGCCCATACTGCTTGAGGTCCAGTGTGAAATATCCACAGTCAGTCATGATTTGGGGTGCGATGTCCGGTGCAGGTGTTGGTAAACTCTGCTTTCTTAAATCCAAGGTCACTGCAACAGTCTACCAGAATGTTTTAGAGGACTTCATGATTCCTTCTGCTGAGGATCTGTATGGAGATACAGATTTCATCTTCCAGCAGGACCTGACCCCTGCCCATGTCGCCAGAAGCACCAAAACCTGGTTTGATGCCCACACCACTGCTTGACTGGCCAGCCAACTCTCCAGACCTAAACCCCATTGAGAATCTATGGGGTCTTCTCAAGAGGAAAATGAGGAGCACCAGACCCAACAACAAAGAAGAGCTGGCAGCAAGCATCAAGGAAATCTGGGCTTCCATAACTCCCAGTCAATGCCACAGACATTGTCTCAATGCCACGTCGCATCGAGGCAGTGATTAAGGCAAAGGGATTCCCAACCATGTATTGAAGATTGACATATCGTTGTGAAAATACCATATTTTGATTGATTTGTTGTGATCCTAATTTCTTTTTTTTTTTTTTTTCTGCAAAAACTGAGAAGTAGTGTGGGCTGATTTCTTCACAATATTCTAATTTTTTGAAATCCTGTTTTCGTGGGTTTCA